TATAGGTGGGAATATATAAATATTATAAGATTATTTAATATAAAAAAACTCTAACTCTAACCCGAAGCTAACTATAAACTATACTATGACTCTTACTTTAACTTTAACTATTCTCAAATCTATTTAGGTTAGTTTAAATAATTATTTTTATATTAAGTAATCTTATAATATTTATATATTCCCACCTATACTAAATATCAACCTTTAACTTAATTTGCCAATTAGAGTATTTGTCATTGATTTCTCAATTAGCAAATTTTATTTAAAGTACCACTACTCAGGGTGTATTGTTATTGTTTCACATTTTATCTAATTTATTTAATTAATGTATCAAAAATAACACTCTATTCATATCATTGTAAGGGCTGGACTAGTTTTGGACCAGTCTTACTAGTCCCTAAAAAGTCCGGGTCTGAACTTGGTACAAACTAGTTCCCCGTGGACCACTTAACATCCCTATTTTTTATATAAGTGTCGTCAAAAAAAAACCTGACAATCTAAAAATAGATCACATAGTTCATTATGAAATTCATAAGTGATCTATGTGATCTATTTTTAGATTGTTGGGTTTTCTTTTGACAACACTCATATAGTACAGCCAATCAAAATCGAGAATCTGCCGGTCCAAATTTGTTGCGGCAGCTATGGGCGTGCCCTTATTTCCCACCGTGATACAAACCAAAAAAGGAAATTTTTGTATGTAAATCGTAAGATCAGGTGTAACACGAAATTTGTTCGTGTATTTTTCAAAAAATCGCTAATAACTCAAAATTTTGTCTAAAAAACCGCCTCTCGTTTCTAACAAAAAAAATTACTTACAAAATTTTAGTATAGAATCAATTCTTCCTAACTTTAAAGTTAAAGCAAATTTGCAGCAAATGGAATATTTGTAATTTCGCGTGATTTGTATCACAGTGAGAAATAAGTAAACCCGCAGCTATGGTTAATTATTTAAATAGGCGTTTTGATTTTTCTCTAATTTTGAGCGAAGATATCTCGACAACCACTTGGCTAAATTCGATGGAATTTTTTTATTTGAATTCTATGAGCCATAAAATTAAATAGAAAAGGTTTTATTAGATTTAAGTGGATAGTTGTCAAAGGGTTTGAAATTTTTTATTTTTACTGGGATCTGCATGTCAATCAAAGGTGCAGGAGTATCAAAAACGAATGTTTTGCATTAATCCCTATCACTATGAACTTTAATGACGAATCAAGTAAATTCTTTATTAAATGTGGCGTAACCTTGCTCAAAGTCAGTCTGAGAAATTACTAAATGTACAATACAAATATGATTTTTACATTTTAATGCTGACAAAGTCGTCAACATCTATTCAATCCTTGGATCGGATTAATATTTACTCGTAGAATTTTTTTAATACTATAATATAATATTATTGAATACATGTATAATTGTATCCATTATTACAAATTTAAAATTTTAATTGGTAGTAAATTTTACATTGATGATCGAAAAAATGGGGCACATTACAGCACTATATTTGTGTTATGGTCCCAAAGCGATTCTCAAATCCAAATTACATAATAATGTCATAAGCCAAAAAGTTTTGGTCGCAAATTTAATCCGTACTTTCACTTGCTGTAGGTTCAGCAAAATCAATAGTCATTGGAGAATCGTCATCTTGTGTTATAAGAGCTGCTACTGACATAACATTTGATTGTTCAGGTTGTTCAATAATCAGAACTGGCTCATACCGTTCTAAATTTTCCGCGTCATCTTGATCGTTATTCTCCATTATCGTTAAACTTTGTGCTTGTTCTACATATTGAAGAGCATTTGTCATACATGTTCGAATTATACTCTCTTTAAGTAATATATTTACTGCTTTAGATAATTTAGTATCCATCGTTTTCAGCGTAGCAATATCTCTAGTCGATTTTGCCAATTCAATAAGAAATAAGATATATTCGTGCACATAAACAAAATGCCTGCCTGCTCTAATGTATTTCAAAATTTTTATTTAGCATACTGAATAAACGCCAAATTCAATCTTTTTTTTTTAAACTAAAAATTACCTTTCAAATTCAGGCTTCCATACGTTCATTACGGATTTATTAGATGAAGCTTTTAATTGAAAGAGATTTTGTAATAACGCTTTTGCTTCTTCAGGTTTCTGTTCAACATGGTTAATTAACCATGCATGCTTAAACGATATACTTAAAATTAATGGCTATCTGATAAGGAAAAAAAATAATGTTTATTAACAAAATATTAAAAACTCACCCTAAATACTGGACGATGGTGCCACTTATTTTTGTCTGCTTTTCTTATGTTTTCTAATTTGGTACATATAAGATTATACGCTCTCTGATATTCTGGTTTTTGTATATTAAAAACAGCGCCTTCGTTTGTATAATCTATAGGCATCATATCATCATCGGTAGGGCCAATAGATTGTTCAACAAATGATGGCTTTAATTATAAATATATAAATATATATCACAAAGGATTAAAAATTTACACTAATTAGATTAAGAACAGTATTTTTTTTTTTAATTACCTTAATCTTATTAGTTATTAAATATTTTGCTAATGCTGACGTTAACTTGTATTCAGCGTCCAAAATTTTCTCTTGACCAGCAATGCCCGACCTTTCTGGGGTTCGTGTTACTGCTAGTTTGTATAGTTGAATTACCACCTTTAATAAAAGAACACTTGTTAATTATTGTTTTAAATATCTACCGGTAACAGTAAATTTCAAAATTGATAATACCTCAGGCTTCTTCTTAAGTCTTTGGTAACATTTGCCAATCATGTAAGGTATTCTATATAATACACAAACCAGCTATTTAGTATGCAAGTCAACAAATAGTAAATAAATAAATATATATATATATATATATATGAAATCACAAACACCTCCAGTCCCTGACAATAGGCACTACATTTGTAGAGCCATTTGTAGATGCAACAGAAGAATTAGATGGCGTTCCAGCAGGAGTTCCATATGGTGTGTTGTGCTCGGTCTCGTTTGGCGTTTCATTTGGTGTATATTCTGGAGTAATATTTGCAATATCACTTTGTTTCAATAATTGAGATTCAAGTTCTAATGCTTTTCCAAAACAATAAGCAGCAAATTGACATGCTTGTGCATCATCGGGCTTACGCCAAATTTCTGCATGACTAGGACTTAGTGAAAAGGCTTCCATTAACATTGGCTCCGACATCATTGCATACACCTGATAGCCATAATCTCTCCAAAAATTAATCTCTTCAATTGGTGTAGTTAATTGTTGATTTGTAAACCAATGTATCACTTTGGAAGCTCTCGCAAGACATTGAAACGATTTCTACATCGGTCAACAGTATTTAAGCCAATTATGTTAACATACATTTATTAGATAATGGATGGGATAAAAAAAAAAAAAAACCTTTTGATAATTGGCAATTTCAGCTCGATTGTTGTTAATTTCTGAGGCACTCCATGTAAGATTTTCATCAGCCAAATTTGCATAACAAGTACCCAAAGCATACCACGAAGCAAACCTTAGTGGATTATTTCGAAGATCAAACTATATACGAGGACAATTATTAAAAACTATTTATCAAATGTTAATTTAACTTTAAAAAGTACGTACTGTAAATTGTTCAATAGCTTTTTCTAACATATCGACGGCCTTATTGACATTAGCCTTTGATCGCGTCTTAAACTGATTTAACAAAATCTTGCCTCTAAAATAATATAAATCTGCGAGAGCTATTTTATCGCGTACAAAATTATAATAAAAATATTAATAATGAATCTCTAAAAAAAAAAAAAGAAGTTTCTTCGCGTGTTACCTCTATCAGAATCTCGACTAGAAACAGATCCAAGTTCTTTGACATCATGATTATGTTCTTTGTATTGAACCGCTTCGTAAAAGTTTATGTCATCATCAAGAAAATTTCGAGTTTTCCAACTGCATTTAGAGAAGCCTTTGAAAAGGATACATTAAAAAGTCATTACTATCATGTAGCAAAGAAGCAAAATAGAGTGATCAATTTATCAATAAAGAATAAAGAATCCTTACGATCATCACGTGGAGGTGGAAACATGTTTGCTATTTTATCTAATGTGTCCTTGACATCATTTTTGATCGCCCATGCCTTATACATTTTGTCTGACTTTTGATTTAGATAATTTCGTATCTCTCGGAATAATAATTCGGCAGTTTCATGGTCGAGGTCAGCAGCGGTAGTGTTATGATTTTTCGGTGGGGTCGTATCAACCTGTTTGTATTCATGAGTCGATAAATTCTAAATAAATTTAGAAAATTGTGTAAATTGCTTACGCTTAACGAAACCCTATATAGGCAATGGCAACATTGATATTCATGTTGCCTATACTCCGATGGGTGTAGTTCAGTGAGTGTTCTGAGGACGACTTTCAGAAATATACCTGCAGTGTGTACAAAGGAAATTTACATAAAATCATAAGATTGGCGATATATAAAATAGAAGAAATATTTAATAACAAACCATTATCAATTCCACATATGTGACGTACTCCAAGCCGATCATGTACTGCCTCAAGGAATTCAGCAAAATCGTCTATCAACGAATTTGATACACTCTGTCGTAACAAGTAACAAAACAAAACCCAAGTTCGAACACATAATATATTTAGTGGTTCGCTAATTTCTGTTGTTGCCCTTTCCAATTTCATGCTACGAGGAAAAAGGACTTCAAGAGCTGTTGAGTTCAATACGTGAAGGCATCGCTTGAAATTTGTTTGATCATTCGTTGACAAGTCTGCTGTAATTATATATAAAAAAAAAGAATTTAACACTATCCTTCAAAAATATGAAATTTATATTTTTGACAAATAAATACCGAATTTATTGTCATCTGAAAGACATCTGATCACTTCCGCTAGAGATTCGTTGACCTAACGTTCAAGAAAATAAAAATTAAAATCTCGAAAATCTGTTTCTTTAATAATTAATCGTTATAATTATTTTAGTATTGTCAAACGAAAATAATGAAATAAAATCTCTGTTTTCATTTGGACAATACTAATTTATAAACTAACCGAATGAATAGTAGCCCAATAATGGATAACCCTGTCTTGACTGATGACATCAGATACAGCATTTTGCATAAATTTTATAGAGTCAATGAAATGCGAAACAGTACGTTTCCATTCACTCTGCGACTCATCTCTGCTAGATTCCAAGATACATATTTTATAATTTATTGTCGAAATATTTATATTTGAATCAAAGCCACTTTATAAAGCATTAAAAAAAAGAGATAGTTATTATATTATAGAAGAGCAAATTTCAACGATTGCAAATATTAGAAAAAAATTATTACCTGTTTACTATAACAATGTCTTCTTTATGTTCACCCAAAGCATAGTTTTGCTTACACTGCTCAAAAGATTCAATGGACTTGTCTAATTCACCTTTCCATAATTCCATTCGAGCAATACACCACCATAACCTATTTAAAAAAATCATTAGCCAAAATTATCAAAATAAAAATCTTGACAAACATAATACGTTAAGTATTAAAACTCACCGAGAATTCAGTTGAGATGACCAATTTTTCCATATATTGTAATGATGACTCCATTCATCACCAACCCCAGACTCTAGTGCAAGAAGGCCTGCATTATTCACAAAGTCTTGCATATTCCAATATGAATACACAAGGCTCTTTTTACATATATCTAATGTAGACTGCAACGGCTATCATAAAAATAAATAGCAAATCTTAAATTTAAATATATAATTTAAATAATTCAAATATATCTGTTCAATCGACAATTTACCGTAGGAATTTCTTGAACATCGATAGAACTTGAACTAGAAAGCGAAGATGTAGCTCTAGTACTCGTAATTTGTGAATCTGACAAGAATTCACAAATACCCATAATTATCTAACGAAAATTTTTCAAGTCACCTAATGAAAGAATCAAAATTTGAAAAAAACAAATTTGAAAAGTATCATACCTCAGACTTTTGTTTCATCTGTGTAAAAATATTATCTTCACTATCATTCATCATTATTTCAACCAAGTTACTTTTTTCGTCCCAACTAGTACAAGAATTTT